TTTAGAAGGATGATGGACCGTACACACCACTAATCATATTTCTTTCAAACTGCCCCTGTAATAAGCTTTACTGCAACTAATCCTGCAAAATGAGTTTGTTTAATTAAATACAACTGAGTGCATTTTATAAACATTTTAATAAACTAAAAAAAAAAAAAAAATAGTAGAGTTTATTTATTATTTATTAATTAAATTAAAATAACAATTAATAAATATCATTTTTTACTATTATGTAAGAAATAATAAAACATTCATAAAAATTGTTAACATTTTATCAGTTTATTGCATTCTTAATTTTGGATTTCATGAAACATCAGTGCATATTTGATTACAGCTATCTTTTTCTGAAAATTAACACAATAACAAAATATTAGATATTGATAATTTAAATGATATACAATACATTTAAAGTGTCATAATAATTTATATTCAATAAGATTGTAAGTTAAAAATGTAACTATCATTTTGATTATTTGTAATGTATGCTATAAGCATGTTAGTTTATACAAATTCTAAAAAATATCAAAAATGTTATAAAATGCTAGAATTCCATGTGTTTCAATAAGAAAAAAATTAATTAATACTGTTTAAAATTGTATAAATTGTTAAATGAAACAGTTTTAAGTAAAGATTTAAACCTGGATTAATGGTTATCATTGCCTCTTGTTAAATGGATAAATTATCATACAACTTGTATTATTTTACTAAATATAAAAATTAAAAACCTTCTTTATGACGAGATAATTTTTTCTTTGTCTTAATTAATATCCGATGACCAAGACAATCAGCAATTTCCAAATAGCATTTACTTCGACAACACTTTTTACAAAGTTTATACTCACATTTTAAGCCCTTTACAGTAAATATAAAATTAATAACAATATAATAAATAATTAATCAATATATTTAATTAGGGTTAGACATAATTTAAAAGTACACTTAAATAACTGTAGAGGTACCTTTGGATTTCGACATCCAGAACATAATTCTTCAAGTATTCTTTGACACCTGATTTCTTTGTTTTTTAATTTACTTAACTGTTTTAATTTTTTTTTTGACAATTTTAGTGGGTCAATACAGTCTTCATCATCAATACCTCTCTTTAGATTCTATTTGAATAAATAATTTTTGAAAGGAAATTAATATATATTTTGTTTAACAATGGAATCCCTTACTTCTTTTTCATCTGTTTTTGATTTATTTACTTCTTCGTTTGTTTCAAGTTCAACTGAATTACTTTTTTGCATTACACGGACCATGGGTTGACACAGCCAAGGCGGCAAAGTTAAGTTATAATCTAAAATTATATTAGAAAACTGTCAGGATGTAATTTGTTTACAAAATTTAAGTGATTCAATTTGTATACCATTTTGATTGTTGTTCCATGGTAATTCGCCCACGTGATATGGTAAATACTTTACTTTTAATTGCATAATGGCGTTTCTAAAATCGTTACGGTTTTGACCTTTTGCTAATATATCTCTAATTGATTCATTTTCAGGGAGACTGAATCTGGAATTAAAAAATATAATATAATTATTACCACATTATAATTAAAAAAAACAAAGATTTATTCACATACAAGTGGTAGCAAAGTTTAAATAAGTGACCTCTTGTATTTGAAAGTGGACAAGGATATTGTTGGCTAAGATCTAAGTACTCAAGTGCTGGTTCCCAAACAGGAGGTGATTGATTGTCAAAAATGTATGGATTATGAAGGTGTCCTTCAGCAGACATAACTCCTTCACACAAAGTTTCCTTTAAGCATCTTTCAATATCTTGATGTATAAGAATGTTGCCATTGGCTAAGACAGGAATTGTTACATTTTCCCTATAAAAAAAACATAATAATTTAATTTTTAAGTTTTTTAACCAAGTGAAACATTTTGAACCACATTTTAGAAAAAAAAATTGAAGTCTAAGCTGGTAGTCTAACTTTTTAATAACCAAAGTTTTCAAACAATTATTTTAATATGTAATTAAATCAAAATATTGACAAATGTTTTTTAACTTACTTAACAGCTTTTATTTGACTCCAATCAGCTATTCCTGTTAACCGTCCTTTTTGATCCCTAGTCCGACCATGAACTGATAACATTTGACAACCTGCTTCTTCCAACATTTTAGCATATGATATAGTTTTTGTTAAATCTTCAAAAATACGTATTTTACATGACACTGGTACTTTAAGATTGTCTCGCAATGTTTTAACTGAAATTCAAACATGTTTAAATAACAATGTAAAAACATGTTTTGTATTTAGTTGGGTTGGATATTTAGCATATCACAATCATATTAATATTATTAATAAGTAAAAAATAATAGAACTTACTTACCAATTTCAAATATAAGTTTCCATTCATCTTGAAGAAAAGAACCATAAAATCCACGCTTAGCAATGGCTTGTGGACAACCCAAGTTTAGATCTATTACATCACAACTATCTTCAACTAATTTCCCAGCTTCTAGTATTACTTTTGGATCATTACCACAAAACTGATAAAACAAAGGGAATATTTGCAAAAAAATAGCTTATGTAGACACCACTCTCGCATGGGTTGTTTCCACATACAATGACAAATGACAATGTATAACATAATATTTGGCAGAAATAATATTTTGTTACCCTTAATATTAGAGTGAATTGACCTATCATCAATCTAAAAATATATGAGGAAAAAACATTAACTGTGTATGTACGTTAGTTTTTGAGATACGTTAATTTTTAAGTGAGTTATATGAGCATTTTTATGGTAATATTTTATATAATAACAACTCATATTTTGCTTAAAATTGAAAAATTGTAAAAAATCAATATTCTTCTTTTGAAGTTAAATAAAAGGTCGCCTTAATAATATTTAAGTGTAAAACATAAAGTTGGTTCTCCCAAATACTAATTTGATTTGTTGTATAATTTTATTATAAGATGGAGACAATCCAAGCAGAGTGGCCCTTTTAATATTATGTTTTTATAGTTGTACCTGAACAACTAAAGGCCGGTCTTCAGGGCAAGTAGTAAAAAATTCTTTCCGATATTTACGATCTTGAACAAAATTCTGACTGTGTAACATAGGTGCAAAACATAATTGAACACCGTGCTTACGTGATAACATCCGCCAAGGTAGTTCACTCTGTTCAACCATAGGGGCTAGTACATACTTTGGTTTTCCAAGCCTTTCCCAGACATTTTCTCTTGACTCCATGGTACCAATTAATTATACCTAAAAACTAATTTAACTGTAAAATTATTCTATTAACAATTAAGTAATTGAATGAAAATATTATAATTTCAAAGGATATATAAAATAACAATTTGATGTTCATCTTATATTTTCTGTTTTACCTATCAATTATCATATAAGGTTATTAAATAATGAATAGTATTATTTGAACATTTATTTGTGTTTATTTATATCAAGAAAATGTTGATAGGTATATGCTATAGAGTATATAAGTAATATATTTATTTTGCATTAATAATGTACACTTATTACAATAAGTTTTTATCATTAAGGGTGTTAGTACCACTTTTTATAATTTTCAGCAATTTTATAAAAATTTGAAAATTATATTTTATATTTTAGTTGCTATATTAGTTATTATACTTTTCCACTCATCCATAGCCCGATAAATATTTGGATAGGGAAGTGGTTGATACGGTGTATTAAATCCACAAAAATGACTACACAGGAAAAACTCCCAAGCTTCATCTTCATCTTCATTGATAATTTATTTTTTATCACTTTTTGGGGTGGGATCAAAGTCCAAAATTTTAATTTTACTTTAAATAGTGCAAGAAAAATATGTTTGAAAAATAAAAATGTTGTGTATTACAAATGCATATTATTTTAGCTTCTATAATTATAATTTTGGAAATTGTAAAAAAAAATATTATAAATTCTACAAGCCATGAGAGTTTTTCTTGTGTTCTTACTAAAAACACACCGGAATCGACGTCCTTAATGGGCATATGCAAACAAATTATAGAGCATTTTATCTTAATTGAAAACTTGACAACCCAGCATACAGTACAGTAGGTGTCTTCAATTTTAAAAAATGTAAATAAGTACCTATTGTATCTAATAAAACACAGGTGTATTTATTGACATTTAAATAGATACTGCAATCCAAATAATCGAAAATAAATTAAAACCATAACTTATATGGACACCATTTTTATTATTCAAAAATAAATAAACACAATATTTGATAATACAATATTATATTTATATAGTATTTATGTATAGTATATATGTATCAAAAACAACATGATAGGTAAATATTACTTGACTTTTAAATATTTAAATAGGAATCTATTAGGTATGTTTACGAACAAACAAGTGATAAAAATTCTAACCATAAGAAAAATATTCATTAATATTACAAATAATACTTTTAATTAAAATTTAAACGAATTTAACTCATACAAATTTATAATAAAAGTACAAAAAAAGTATGATTTTAGATGTTATATAATTTCACGAGAAATGTCAAGTTCATTAACACATTTTCATCAATAAAAAGAAAACAAATCCATTGAATAAATAAATAAAATATACAATTTTCATTTTTCTCATTAGAAGGTATTGAAAATGGCATTGGGAGAGAATTAATAGGTAAAACATTTTTTATTTTAGGCAATGAAATAATATACGATCGAGAGTTGAATGTAGTAAATTTGTATGGTTTGGACTATAATTATCACAAATTCGTAATTACGTAATATACTGTTTAACCCTTTCTTCCTTCCTACGCAAGGCTACATTTTATTGTGTACATAGAAAAATGTTTTAAGTTATTGATACATTATTACACTGTTAGTAATTATTAGTTATTAGACTACAAATTACAATATCTTGATAATAGTAATAATTAAGAAATTTTAAATAAAAATGTTCCCGGTATAAATAGTTTTAATAAAACAGACATATTAAGATATTTTACTCTCTAACATGTTCTTTAGATTTTAAATTAAGATGTAATAGACTTACAGTGGATTTTTCCATTTTTTTAAAACATACATATTACATAATAATTGTAGAGATGGTATAAAATTGAACATATTAAATATATATATATGTAATATATTGAACATATAACACCAACTAAGGATTTTTCGATATAATTAACCACTGTACAGTAAACATCATATACCATGAAAAAATATATTTAATTTTTCACAAATTTCAAGAACACATTATTTGCTAATAAAATTTAAAACTAAACCATGACACTTCAAACATTTGGTTTTCACAAAAAAACTGGTATAAACAATGTTTTCTAAATATATTAAAATTTTAAATGAATTTATAAAAATGGAAAAGTATTAAAATATTAATATAGTACAACAAGAAAAGACGACATATATTAGGTACCTATGTATCACATAATAATGACTATTAAAATATCGCGTGTGCGCAAACATCATTATTCCTTTAAATATGGGTTGAAATTATTTGTTAAGATTTTTGGAAACTCCAATCACTTGTGACATTAAAAATATATTGATAATTGGAGGTCATTAGTCATATAGGGAGGTATAAGAATTTGAATTTTGAGTATAATGTTTATTATAATAATATAATATACTAAGTAGGTACCTGAAGTTAAATAGGTATCTATAAAGTAAAAACGACCAAATCCAAATTATTTTTAATACGATTATTTGAGGTTTTGCACATTTACTTATACATATACGTATAACATAGATTACATATAAACTGCCTTCCCCAAGCTATAAAATGCCAAAGGTTAAAAAAAATGAGGTTAAGCACTCAAGCCAAATTAAAAACTCTAAAATTCCGCTTATTTAGGTGATATGTCATAACTCATGTCTAAAATATTGTTCAACAAAAACGATATAATTAAATACAATATTCTTACTTATGAAACAAGTTTCCATAACGTATAGATACCAACAGTAAGGATTAATGTAAAAATTAATATATGTTATAAACTTAAAAACTTCATACAGTAAAAAGTACCTAAAAAAATGTATAAGGTATTATGGTAGTATAGTATAAGTATATTATAAGGAAATAAAAAATATGAAAACAAATGTTTTTGTCAAAAATGTTATTTAGTGACTTGTGGCATTTTAGCTTATCGAGGCAGTATAGTTTTTGTTATTCGTTCGTATTAAATCACATAGGTACCACATAATATACTATACACGGATATTCAGAAGAACTTTCCGACTGCACCACTTAGCAGAAAGATAGCAGAAAAATCAGTGAACGGACACCACGATAGTCGTTGATTCGCTCGTAAATCGCGGAGACCCGACTTAAGTCGTTTCAGGTCAAACCACTGAACTGAATATAATGTATTCAGTTCAGTGGGTCAGGCACGGTTAAAGGGTTGTACAATTATATAATATTATTGTTTACATTTTTTGTTTTTGATTACCAAACGCCATCGTTCATAAAATATTTTGTCCGTCTATCAGCAGGTGATAAAATTGAAATGCGAATTGCGCGCGTCCACACATCACGTGGGTCGTAGGAGAGAAAGGGTTGGATATGGAAAACCCACACAAACATAAATCACGCGCTTTTAGAAGTGCTGTGTGGGGAGGAAGACGGTGGTGACGACGACGACAGCCAACTGCACGGCCTGGTCTGCGGGTAACGGTTTTTCAGTTGTGGCGTCGACGGATTTGACAGTCCCGACTCGTGAATCGGCGACAGGTTGGACGACGATTTCGAGTGTTTTATCTGCCCGTTTCCGCTGCCCACCTTGCGCCGCTTGGTTTTTGAAGGCTGTTGTTCGACGAATGCCAACACCTGGCCTAGCTCCTTGAGCGTGATCTTTTGCATCTGACGGTGGCCGGCCGCGTGTGGCAGGGCCGGAAGTGAGCCCGAGTTGAATGATTTCCACTCGTCAACAACCAACGATAACTGACCATTGTCGGTGGGTATGACACGGTTCCGGCGGACAGCAAACGGCGATGGGGGAACCTTGACGTGGTGTGCGGTTGCGGCGGCGACAGCTGTTCGACCAAATACTGGCTCGGGTTTTTGGAAGCAGCAGCAGAACCCTTTTCGGCGTTTGCCCAAAACGAAGAACCGTGCGCCATCGCCCCGGATCCTGTTCTTCTCCAGACAATACCGGCACTTTGGTTGTGTGTTCTGCTGCTCGCGGTCCTCCGGTCTTGCCTGGTCCAAGTCCTTCGGATTCAGCAGTCTACTGGAACCACTGCGACCGTACGATTCCACCGTCTCAACGGTCATATCGTCGTGGTTATCGGCGTCTTGGTTGTTCCGGCCCGCGCCGTTAAGGTTTGAGTGGATGCCGCATGACGGCCGCTTGTGCCGGCCTGCGGTCACCGCACCGTAACAACACGCTGAAGCGTACACTTTGGCCATAACGGACTTCCTGGCAGCAGCGTTCTTGCAGGAACCCGAAGACATCGCGGCGTGATTGTCGGATAGGGACGACGACGACGATAACGCAGCTGCGCCGTTCCTGGAATCGAACTCTGGATATCGCCTGTAGTTTCGGATATACTCGTACGTGGTGATTCCCAGCGCGGATATGTACACGTGGAACACGCACAGGTGCAGTAGCAGTACCATGGCGACCAGGGCCAATGCGCACTGGGCAGATGCGACAGCCACAAACACGTTCCGATCCACCGAAAGTCGACTGACGCTGAACAACTGGTTTACCTGGATGGTTTGATTGCTGCCGAACATCGGTCGAAGGTAGTGTTCGACGTGTACCGGGTCCGCGTTGTAGATGACCAGCTCAGCGGACGAAACCAGCACGATCACCAAGCATGCGAGCACAGCCGACACGACGCTCACGATGAACGCTACGTAGTTTCTAGCACCGATACAGTGGTTAAGCCACTTGCAATGGTGGTCAAACTTCTCCACGCACTTATTGCACGATCCGCAGTGCTTGGTCCTGTGGCCGGACGTGTATATATTACACAGGTGACACTTGCCGTTCTCGATAACGTGCGCGTGTTTGGTCTTGTCCAGCTCAGGGACGGACTTCCGCAGCGATTCTCCGTTCTCCCCGAGAGCACGGAGCTGTGGGTCTGCGGGATCGATGAGCAGCGCAGCCACGTGCGACACGACATGTAAGAAGAACAGGCTGCCCAGGACGAACAGCGCGACTGGTTAGATGTCAGGCCCGAGGCCAGGCAATAGGACACCGAATGAACAGGCACCGAACAAAGCCAGCACCAGCCAACCGGCCACTTGCTGCGGGTGCCACGGCATCTGGAGTCCGTGGACCCGCCGCTGTTTCCTCCTTGTCTCGCTGTGACACGGTGTCATGGTCCGCTGCGCATCGCACAATCCCGACGCTCAACGGCGACACTAGCACGAGCACCACCACAACCAATGGCGGCGATGGTGAAACGATTGAGTAATGACTGTGAGTGAGCTTCCAGTCGGTGTTTAACGTCGTCAATCTAGTCGGTGTACAATAACGCGGTAACATAAACAGTAGTGACGACAAAACACTCGGGACGGATGACGCATGGCGGACGTCGGCGGACGACAGCGGGACGATTGGTACTGGCGAGGGAGACGCGACGGCGGGCGCGAAACGACAGAGGAATGTGCGCGTCGGCACCACCCGCGTCTAACGGAGTTAGCGGTTCCCCTTCGAGCGTGCCGCGTCACGCCGTATCGATTAGTTTACAGTCACCCTCGCTCATCCACGCCACATTAACCACTGCCACCGACCGCGTGCGATGAGAACCGAAGCTTTCTTTTGAACGTCGGCTCGTTATGACGCGTTCACAGCCTTACTGCACATACCACAACCTACTCTGAAAACCTATTTCTGCCTGCGAATAATCAATCAATCAACGACGATTGGTAGACGGTGTAAGTATATTGCGCCATATTATACTCGCTTAGACGTCCGAGGAATAAAGAGAAGAAAAAAATTTTTTTAACGCCATTCGAATTGTCTAATGAGTGTACAATAATGCAGTGGCGCGCCGCCAGTGTACTACTTTCGAAGTGGACGATATTAATAAATTACGCGCGACGCCGAACAAAACTTGTATAGAGTGCAGGAAACGAGTGTTGACTTCCTGACACTTCATAGACGGAATACAAAAAGACCTACAATATTTTTTTTTGCTTTCAAGCAAATCAAGTCATCGATATAACCATTAACCCATATAAATCTCATACATGCAATATTAATACCTGATGGGTTAGGTCAGTTTTAATAAGATATTCAGTTCATAAAACAGTTACGGACGTCAGAGTTGAAAACTGCGCTTGATTATGAATAAACTTTGCGTTTAGTTTTATACTTTATATTAAATATTCGTTCGAATGAAAACTAAACAAAAAATTAATGTAATGAGCAGTTAGATTTAATGCTAACCAACAAATTAAAATTAAATTGTTTTATACTCTATTCGTTTTTAATTTATTATTTATTGACTTAGACAAACATTACAAAACCTAAGATAGATCATCCCACATTTTACAAGATATTTATAATTTCAACACTTGGATCTAATTGGGTAGGTGTTTTTTAGCTCAAAGTTCCAACTGTTTACTACTGTAAGGAAGACATAAGTCATATGAAGTCCTAATCAGATTACCTTCATACATCAGCCTAATTATCATCTTCAATTATACAGATACATGTTAACTTATACAACTTTAAATTGACTATCAGCCTTAAGAGCAACATATTAATAATATACATGACAGGTTTAAAGAAAATTGTTTTGTTTTGTGTTCACAGGTACTACTTATCCTACAATAAATGTATCTATAGTTTCTAAGCCACTATTTAATAATCACCTATTTGTTACATAAAATAAAGTTTTATCGCTTTATTTAAATTGCTTTGAATTAATAACAAATAAGTACAATGACATTCGCTAACTGAGTAGGTAATACGAAAAACTAAATTGCCACTGGTTAAGATAACAAAAATCACAAATCTTCAAGATCATAATGATTAAACTCTACTTTGTGTTTAATGCCGTTAATAACATTTTTAGAGCTACTTATATTATGAATTATACTTTTTAGATAAATAAAATATAGGTAGATACATAATGTTATTGTTCATATTTTGATTTTGACATACATACCTATAGCTTGCTAATAGTCATGGACCTTCTGAAAACATTAATTTAAAATAATAAAAAATAACTTTTAAGTTTCAAATAACTTAGTATATCAACAATATTGTTTTAATTTCATTACATAAAAGAACTCACACATTTCAAGTAGGTACTATAGTCTATAAGCATCAACTATCAAGTAGTAAGTTGCACACGATTACATTAACATGAAGTTTCGACTTAATATATATAATCACTTATAGGAATCGTATCTGATAAGTGATTATAGTGATAAACTGATAACAGAAACGTGTATTTTAAACCCAGGGGTTCAAAACATGCAAATTACTGAAAATTGAAATTATTAAAAATTATAATTTAATGCGTTGACAGTATAATATTATGTAAGAAGACCACGATTTAACCATAACCATGATGAAGATTAGCAATGACTAATTATTTTAAGTAATTTATCAGAATAAGAGACCGAACTCGTACGGATACCGCCGCCCACATGGGAAAAAACGTCACGTAAAGTAATGAGTAGTACAATTAAGCGGACACAGGCTGCGCTTCGGTCGTAAAGATTATTACTCCAACCTGCGTAGTAATGTAGAATAGGGATTATTAGTGGTTTTTTACGTTTTTTGTAAAATATATTCATTATTTTGAACTATGGCCCGGTATATATTTTGTTGTTTGAACAATTATCCATTCATACATGTGCATATATGTAATGTGTATACTTCATAAATATTTTATTATTGTGTAAATAATTAAATTAAACAATTCGTTAATACTTTATATAGTTATATTTTATACATCTGTGTTCATAGTAAGTCTGAGCCCGATATTAATCGATACACCATAAACATGAGTTCTAGAACAATAGTTTTGTACCAATAAGCATAGGCAAAACTTAAGTTAAAATTCTTTGAGAGGGGCCACAGCCCACCTAACAAAACTATTAATTTAAAATAATCCACAGGGGGCTTATATCTTAATCAATAAGGGATATTTTTGGGCCCCCATTCTTTCTAGTTGCGGTACTGCGAGTATGTATCGTTAGAACCAAATTTGTTTCTAAACAGTGTTGAATGTTTATGAAATATACACATGTGTACAATGTACATGTATAAATACACGTTTAATTTGACAAGGTATAACATTTAAAAAGACTCATGCCTCAAAACACAATACATATATTTTTTCAAAAATGTAGAAGACATGAATAATCTCTATATATTAAGATTTTTCGTAATAGGACATCATCAATAGTTCAGTATAAAAAAGATACTATTATAATAAATTATACACTCATCCACGCAAATTTGAATAAAAAAAAATTAAAAAATTCTAAAGCAAGCAATTGCATTAGGTAAATGTCGTCCACCAAGTCACTGGTACATTACGCTTATAGTTAGGTATGTACGTTAAATAAATACGTTAAATATATAAAACATACACAGTATTAAAAACATAAATAACAAATACTTATAATAGATATTCAGTAGCGTAGGTATTTAGGTTTTATTCCTCCTTTAACAGACACTTCCCAATGCGCCGTCTTTTCATCCCATCCCTCAGCAAAAATGTATACGAATATATACATATAAGCTTATAAAATGAATATGAGTACACAATATGTTATAATATTTTATAATTTTATAAATTATTGTCTATAAAACAGATGTATAATTAACTAAAGTATACTTTATATCTTTTTTTGTAATTTACAAATCAAAATACTACAAATTATAATTTTTTGTTTCGAAAATAAAATTAATAAATAGTCAAAAATGAAAGTACATGGTAGATGTGAAATTCGCTTCAATATTGGAAAAATGCTGGTACAAAAGTGGTAAGCTATATAATACACATCAGCAAGAGTATCTTCTCGTTTTAATACACTGTGTGTATATTTAGAATAGAAATGCATTTAATTCCGTTGTTTGAATATTCTGAATGAGATTTAAAATGTATACCAAAAATCGGTTGAAAAGGGATTTTTCGATATCACCCTGGTAACATTATTATAATTTAACATTTTTTTTTTTTTTTTTTTTTTTTTTTGAGACACTGAAAGAAGTAGGCTTATAGATTACCATAAATTGGTTACCCACACATATAGTCTATATAATGGATATCAATGATATCATGAGCCTAGCGTTGTTTCTCAAATTAATTTTCTAGGCAATCAATAGACATATAAAAATACAAGTATATAATAATCAGTTTTCTAAGAAAAAACATTATAGTTTCGATAAAAATATATAGTCGAAAAATCAAACCAAATTATTATATTGTTTTTTAGAATGGGATTTTACTGAATAACAATGTACAAAAATGGAAACATTGCTTTGATACCTGATTGAAGTATGAGGCCACAATTTGCTGTTCTTAAAATGTTTCCGTTCTATGAGCCCGTGCCAATACGGCTGTACCTAATAATATGCACTATGCATGCACCCATGTAAATTCTTAAATAGCATGTTAAAACCTAGTTTAAACTAGATTGTTTTAAAATAAAAACTTTATGAAAAAGAAGAAAAGTTACCTACTACTTTGTTCGTACAAACAGATAAAAATCTGAAAAGTAATATTATTGTTATAAAAAAACGAACATGCAATCAAATATGTTTACAAATTATTAGAAGCCCCTTAACGTAGATATACAATCTAATACCCATTACCTATTGATATTTTAGGGTGTAAGTGTGTTATCTAAGGTATAAAATATAATTAAACCATAAACGGCCTAAACAGTAAATCGTTAAGGTACACTAATAAAGTCATTCTTTCCAAACTTTGAAAAAATATTTTTAATAAAGTTGTTTATAAACTTAATTACAGGTGTGTACCTATAATTCAATAATTGAATATAGAAATCTGCATACAAAGTATATTTTAAATTATATTTATTTATATCTTAAGTAATATGCATAATTTTCTTATACTCATATACGACTTGTGAGTATTATATTGCCCCAAAACAATTAATAATATAAAGAGTAATTATTTAATTTTCTAATGTTTATTAAAATATTAGAGTACATAATATAATAAATAATAATAATAATAATGGTGTCTTTCTATATTATGTAGGTACCAATATGTGTAGCTTACATTTAATAATCATTGATGTTAATGACATTTTATATTTTATATTTTATAGTATAGATAGGTACATACAAGTATACAATATTCACAATTCAATTATAATATATTAAAACTATTTTAACGTAGAATTAGATATTCGGAAAATCTAAGAATGTCAATAACTTCAATGAAATTATATTAAATATTTTATGAGTAGGTAACAAATTTGTTAAATATCTATTTATGTTATATATGTTTATTTATATTATAAATTAGAAATGTAGGTATAGCAAGTAAACAGAAAATTAGAATATCATCAATTTAATTTTGTACTTCTTGAAAATATAAAACATAAACTTACCTACAACTATTAATCTATAATATATTATAGAAATGTATTATATAATTATATAGTAAGTGTATAATATTGACTAGTAAAAAAAAAAAATAATAATACGCATCCAATTTAAAATATAAGAAAAATGCTGTTGTAAAATATTAACTTTTAAGATTAGGTATTTATTAAATTTAAATAATTATTTTAACTGTACCTAAATATTATAGTGTATATTATTACTATAGCTGAAATTACGTAATGCGCAGTTGAGCATTATCTATATGTTTCCTTCGATTTGTATATGCACCAAAGATATAGTTTTACATTAACAAATATCAATGTAAAACGTATCATTATTAAAATATATCTTTAAAAGATCGGTTATTTTGTTTATAACAAAGTGTATGGAACTTTTAAAATTATATAAACATTTATTATACTATTAATAAAACGTTTAAGATACTATTATAGTGTGTAATTACTGATCAGAATTAGTTGAAGTGTTTTGTTTAAATTGATCATCATCATTAGTAGTGGCACACTGAAGTCCTCTCGAATAACCCATTTGGAACGCTTTCCTTTCCAATCCTTTGGCTAAGCCTTCTTGATAAGCTCTTTCTTCGATTTTCTTGAGGTAGTCCAACAACCCACCCACTCCGGATGGGGATGGTTGAATATTTGATGTAACTGTTTCCGATGTCCTTGGGTTAAATTTTATTTTATACTTTCTGTTACTATACATTTTTGACGGTCTGTCGTTTTTAGTTGATAAAATGTCTTCAACAGAAAACCTCTTGAAGTGCAAAACTAGCTCTGACCTAAGTGTATGAGGACACATATCTATAGGAACTACACGAAGTGGAAGAAATGGATCGGAATCTATTGGTTTTTGCCAATATCTGACTACCGAAGAAAAATCTAGCAGATTTTTCAAAGGCAATTTGTGATTAGAGCAAACGTAAATTAAATTTATAGCTTCTTTAAATTTACGCAGAGTCCTGACCAATCCAGTACCTTTTCAAAAAACAATGTACATAATATAGTGTTATAATTTTTAATTAAATATATTCATAGTAATATTAATATTATCCAAAATATTTGTTTCACTTACTGACTCCAGTTAAAGGCGGATCCATTATCACAGTTACGTTACACCCTTTGAGTTTGTTAAGAACAGAGTCCAAAATATCTTCCGTTCTACCAGCTATAAATTCACAATTGACTATTCCATTTATTTCAGCATTTCTTTTTGCGTCCATTATATTCGCCTTAATTAGTTCGATGCCCACAACTTGTTTACATTTCTATATAATTAAAAATACAAAATATAGTTCTGAGTTAATTTCACTAATCATATACGAATAAACGATGTGATAAATCATAATATTTTTTTGACTACCTAATGGTATAATCTATATATATAAGAATCTAACTTGATTTTGGAGACGAAGGAAACCGGTTTTGAACCCTCATAATAATAATAATAATAATTAACTAAATACCAATTATTTTCATATATTCATCGATAACGATGTCTGTTTCTTTTTTTTTTTTAAATTTTATAA